ATACCAAACCAACCCAGTTAAACATATCATATTTGCAGATATAATATTTTCCTACAATGATTTCTTGAAGATATTGAATTGAGCCAGTAAGGTTGAATGTTAGATTAAATTCCTCTTGTTTGCAATTTTTGTACTGACCAGTACAACCATCAGAGAAATAGTGGATTTTTATGGTATTGGGAAACATTTCTTGTACAAATTGGACAGTTCTTTTTACTATACAATAAATAAATCAAACATCGTGTGTTAAGTCATCAGATATAAAACATAAAGATGTTGGTTGACTTTTAGTAGAACCCTCATCATTTTTGTTATAAATAACTACAGGATGTAGTGTGCGTTGCTATTGGTTCCAGTGGTAACTCTGGATTTCGTCTTGTATGACAAATTTAAAGTTTTCTGCAAAGTCAACTAAAATAATAATTTCATTTATGGGCATAGATGACTTTAATGTATTTAAATATTTACTTTGTGCTTTAGCAATATAAGAGTGAGATGTTATGCTATCAAGTTTTCCACTAAGACTTTCAATGAATTCACTTATTGTAGATGTGTTACTTAGAAGCTCTGCTCTATCTGTTGTACTCCATTGTTTGTATTCAATTGTTTCATCTTCATCCACTTTGTCATTCTCTTCAAATGATCCTTCATTTTACAATAGATTTGCAGTCATATAATTTATAATATTTTGAATTCCAGGGCATTGATTACATCTATGGACCATGCATTCCCTTGACTCTCTGCTACAAAAAATCTTCTCAATAAGTTCATGGTAATTCTTCTCCAGTTTAACTGCGCTAAGCATAAGCTTTAGGTTTTGGTGTTTTGCACATATACAAACAGCATGGGTTCCTTTTTGACCAGCATAAATACACCATTTTGGCTTTAACTGAGCAAATTTAGAAAATCCTATTTTGGATTGAGGGTGTTCTAGTTTGAATTTAATAAATAATTCCTTTAAATTGCAAAGAAGTAATCGCTTTGATACATGTTTATTTATGGGTACACTTACAAAATCTTTTATAGCTAGTAGTAGATTTAGTAGGCAACTGCCTACTAAATCATTATGATCATTACAATAGAAGCTTTCCACCTTATTAATAATATCTGATTCAATTCTAACAATGTTAGTTTTTTCTGGAAATCATCTTCACCATTGTGGTGAAGATGATTTCCTGTAAGGTAGACCAATTATCTATTTTTTTTACCACTTCTTTTCGACATGAAGGACACATTTTAAAACCAGGTGTTGTTTTAATACCAATTGAACACATATCTTTTGCCAGTTGAATATCAATTTCTCGCAAACCACCTATAAATATATTATAAATGAATAAAAAAATAAAAAAATTAAAATTTTTTAAACTAATTGAAAGTGTACTAGATAGATTTTTTTCTAAAAAGACAGCACAATAAGTTAAAAACGTAAAAATTTACCATTTATATTAGTTTTATTCTTTTTAAATGGGTCGATGCAATTTTTTTGGGAGTTGGCAAACCGGTTAAGTAAAATTTGTTCATGATGTAAACAGATTTTAATATTAACGTCTAATATTGATAGCCCAGATCTCCATAATAATAAATTTCTATCTTTCTCTGAATAGCTTGATAAATCTTTCAATTCAATTGATTTAGTGTACACCATTTTATGGCATTGATCATTTGATAAAATACCAACTGTACATATAATCTTGTTCATTTTATTTTTTTCAATTTTTTATTAAGCTATAAATGAACACAAAATACACAGGCATATTTAATACATTTTAATACATTTATTAAAAATGGAAAAAATATTTACCATTTATAATTAGTATTTTTATATATGTGCAATATATAGTATTTTATGTATTTTTTTAACTTTGATTTTATAATTTTTTTTTAAATTAATGATTAGCTATGGAGAACAAACAACAGCTGGTAAAACATCAGACTAATCAGACTAAGTCTTAGGGTTTTAATTATTGAGCTTTTCTTCTGTTTTAGTCAAAGATGACAATATGTCATTAATTAGAAAGCAAAAATTTATTTAAAAAAAAAATATTCATTTGAATAAAAGTTTCTTTAAATAATATATTAAAAGGATTCCTTTTGTATAATATTTTTGATAACTAATGAAAATTGTAAATGTCAATTAATTTAAAATAAAATCATGAACACAGACCTATAATACTTTTTTTTTCACATAATACTCCTATATTATTACAAAAAATTTCAAAAAACCCACCTCTAAATTTTGCACCAAAAAACTCACTAGAATATCTATTTTAATAAAAACAAAACAAAAATCACAAAAAAATAAAGTTACCAGACCTCCTTTTTGCCTTTAGTAAAATTTCAAAAATATCTGTAGGTGAAGTACAATCGCCATATTGATATAGTTCTAAATATTCTCATTAAAAACAATCATTATATTCTGATTCCTCGTTCTAAAAACTATACTGGGGCTCATTTTCAGCTTAATTACTTGTTTAGTTAAACATTAACTTGTAAAACAAAAACTATAGTAAAATCAAAATGGCCGCCGAACAGAAAAAACTGCTAAAAATAGCTGATTTTAAAGTAACAATAACACCAAAACCCCTTTGATATCAGTGCTAAAATTTTGCAAGGTACTCTATTTTATATAGATGACCATTTTTACAAAGTATGAAGAAAATCTGAGATGGTGGATTACATACCTGTCCCACTTTCACATGGAATACCTCCTTAGTGAAGTCTAGTCGCTTCCTGTAAACTTTTTGTAAAACTCTGTAGAAAAAATGCAATAAAAGGGGCCATCCATAAAGTACGTACGTAGTAAAACCACTGATTTAGGACCCCCTCCATCCCCCCTTGTACGAACCGAAGATCCCCCGTCCTTCGCGTACATACGCATTATATTTTTTTAAATAACCCCCCACCCCTCCTTCCCTAACGCATAAATTTTTCAAAACATTAAAAACAAAAAAAACATTTAGTTTATTTCTCGGGGTGTAGTGATAAGGCAAATATTGTCTTCTTTTAGCCCCGATCATGTAGATTTTATTTATATAACACGGCATTGTATTCTTTTTTTTGATGAAAAATAAAAAAAATAATGATTGTTTGACATTTCTCTAAACTTAATTAAAACTTAAAATGTAACTTAATGTACTCATCTAAATCTTAAAATGTTACAACATATTTTAACATTTTAAGAGAAATGATAAAAACCAACGGCGAACAGTATTTTAAAAAAAAAGAATTCAAAAAAAAACTTGCTTTTGTTTAAAAAAAAAATTGTGACTGAAGTCAGAATAAAAAAACACAATACTGATTTGTTACACACAAATTAAATGTTTAAAAAAAAGTAATAATAAATCAAGTTTAAAAGAGATAATCAAACCGCGTACGTACTCACTGTCTTTAACACCCCTCCCCCTTGTACGCTTTTGGGAAACCTCCCTCCCTACGTACCTGCGTACGAACTTTATGGATGGTTCCTGTACGTACTTTACGGATGGTATGAAAAACTGCCGGTTTTAACAACTGAAGGTTGGCTGTCAAAAGGAAATTTATTTCCCCATATTTTTGAACTAAGAGTCTAAGAGGAGTTGAAAGAGTTTTTATCACAAGAAAAAATTGATTTAGTTGAATACGTGAAATCTGATGATATCGTTGCAACAGTCCAACTTTTCAGATATGTTTACTACACTAAATGTTATGTCAAAGACCTGGTACCACTATGTGTATTTCTGAATAAAAACAATGGTATGCAAATTTATTTCAGAAATTGTGAGCCACATAGAAAACATTAAAGAAACTTCAGAGTGGCATATGCCATTTGCAAAAGAAACAAAGAGAAAAATTGGCTCTGTCATTTGCAAAAGAATCAATGGCCTTGATATCTGATAATAAGTTTAACAAAGAGCTAATAAATTTGCAGTCAGATATTATGATAAAAAACCAATTAAAAGAAAAGAACAATGGTTACGAGTTTTGAATTGAGCAACTACAGAACTTTCCAATCAGAAATATGGTATTCCCAACTTCCTGGGAATATGGAATTGGGTTTAGTCAATTTAGTATCATTGAAATCAAACACAGAAACAGAATGCACATAGAGCCAGATGCTTGCACCACACTATCTATAACTAAGCCAGACCTAGTGTGCAAGAAGCAAGCTCATAAGTTGCACAAATTATTTTAACATAAAAAAGTTTTTTTAAGCATGATGTTTTTCCTTTTTTCCCCTACTATTACTTATGTATTTTTTTATAACTTACAACTACAAGTGCCCAGGGACAATGACATGTACATATTTTTCTAAAAAATGTAAAAAAGGGAAATAAACAAAAAGGTTTACAAACCACTGCTTTATTACAAAACTTTGAAATTTTTAGTAACAAATCCGTTGCTTTACGTTTTAAAGAAGTTTAAAAAACGATTTTTTATTTGTTGTTAAGCGATAAATTTCGTTTCAGAAATATCTTATTATTTTTGAAAATTTTGAGGAGCCTTGTTCCCTAAAATAAATTGGTTCTAAGGGTAGAGCTAATTAACATATAAACCAACAATTAACATTAATTATAAACATATAAACCAACAATTAAGGGTAGAGCTAATTAACATATAAACCAACAATTAGTTCCATAATTAGTTCTTCAAAAAAAGTTAATTTTGCTTCTTTAAAACAGTGTTAACTCCTTTGGCGCTAAACTGTTTTGAGCACCATGCTTTTTGACAAAAATTATTGATTATAACACTAACACTGATTCCTAGTCTCTAAATCTTACAACACTGGCAACACTGATTCCTAGTCCCTAAATCTTATAACACTGTTAACACTGATACCCAGTCCTTAAACCTTATAACACTGATTCCCAGTCCTTAAATCTTAAAACACTGATTCCCAGTCCTTAAATCTTATACATCTTGTACTTATATTTTCGAATATCAGTAGTTTCTATGCTACTTGTTTTTAACAACTATTATAAATATAAATATAAATTTAAAAATTCGAAAAATGTGAAAACTTGTAATATGTAAATATATGTATTCACGTAAAAAATTGCTTCTACCATGGTCATACTGATATTGGAATGTGTTTATGTTTTTTACAAAATCTTAAATTAATTTGATGAACAATTGTATCAATTTGAAGATCGATTTTCTGCTTGTTTTTTTGATACATATTTAGGGCAATAGCTAGTAATACAATAAGACCAGACCACACGTACCTAAAAAAAATGAATTGAAAAATTCAACAAGTATTAATTTAGCACAAAAAGCATAAATTATTTTTTTTAATTAATTTTAAAACAAAAACTAATGTAAAACGATAAAAAGAATAATATCTTACTGCAAAGTGAAGGGTTTAGCAAACATTACAAACGATAAAATTATAGTTACAGCTTTTCTAAAGGTAGTCACTAAAATAAATAAAAAATATTATATGTAGCTGTTCAAATAATACGCGACATTCTTTTTTACCGTTTTTAGAATCCCTCCTCCCCACATGTAACACTTTGAGAACCCACTCCTTGCCTGAGTGTGTGACACGTCACACACTCAGACAAGTCACACACTCACTCACTTACTCAACGTCTTCTGAATTCACTTGAGACAGTTGACATCTGACCTCAACTGGCCTTTAAATATCATTGAAGAACGTGGAACTCCAATACTTGATATCAAAGTTCTATTTGGGACCTTAACAGAAGTTCAACAAATGTATTTTTTTTTTAAATAAATTTTTTATTTTTCTTATCTTTGAATAAAATTTGTATGTACTACACAAAATTTTAGTCCTTTGGACCAAAATTTTGTGTATTACATACTTGAAGCCAGAAAATACTTTTTAAAGGCTAATGAGGGGAGGTTTTGAGCACAATTTATTATGTTTTGTAACTTTTTTATCAAACAGCAAAATTTCTCAAAATAACATAAGAAAACACTACTTCTCTAACTTTTAAATAAAATAGTACTTTTAATGTTTTAATGTTCTTTTAATGCTTTATTAGTAATGTTAATTTTTAAATGTTTCATTTGAAAGCCATTTGTCTCATCTGTATTATTTTCACAACTTATAGCTAAAACATTTTTTTTGATGTTTTCAATTGCAGAACACACAAACTGTTTTTCTATATGACTAAATATTAGTTAAACATTTATATAAACTTAGCTTATTATGTCCCATCTTGACTTATTAAAATGTTATTTTATGAATTTTTTTTTTTATTAACATTTCCTGACTTGCAGCTGATACACTAAATTCTTTTAAACTTTGTTTCCGATGGTTGTAGGAATACATATATACAAATACATATGCAATACATATAATATACATATACATATGCAAAAAAAACCTTGAAGTAACAATGGAATGACAACAAATAAAAATTTATTTTATAAAAATATTCTTGCAAAAATAGAAACAAATCAATTTGTGGAACAATTGTTGCACAACAAAATTGCACAACTGTCGTACAACACTTATACAATTATTAGAAGCCAAACATAACCCTTCTTATTACAGAGGTAGAGAGCATTTTCTTGAGTACATCGATTTCATTATTCTTGATGCAAACATCAGTTATACCAAAATACTCGTCCTCACTGCCACAACAGTGTTATTGTGACTTAAATTTTCAGAAAAGAAGTTTAAATGTGACCTAAGTAAATGTATTTTCAAGGACATATTACAGCTAAAAAGCCTTATAAGTAGAAAACAGCTCCATGACAATACTTTTATATTCACTTGATCAGTGATTTCTTAGAAAATTGGAAGTTACATGAAAGATTCCCAAACTGATTTTTCCAAATCACTAAGCTTTTTTTTAAATATACCATCTTTCAAGAATTGCCTGATATGAGGGCCAACAAATACACCCTCTTTATTTTTACCTCACTCAGTTAAGTTTTTTTTTTTTTTTTTTTTTTTGTATAAAAAGCTGTCACCACTCCTATCCATAGCTTTCACAAAGTTTTTTATGAATCCAATTTTTATCTTTTTCCTTATTCTCCTTTAGGTGGTTCTGAAGACCTGACTACTTGCAACTACCCTAAAGGTGACTGGGGTTCTTTTGATGATTTTCTTTGTGACAGTCCTTGGTCTTTCTTCTTTACGGTAATAAATGCGTCTTCTACGCAACCTCCTAGGCAGGTAAGAAAGTTTTTATTTCTTCTTTTGGTTCCAAGTCAAGTCTTATTTTACTCCATGGTTTTCACATTCTTGTGCAGCTGCTATATCTAATTGTAATTTTTGTCTTTTTCAAAAGAACAGCTCGCTTGAGAACAAACACCTTTTTATTACTGCAAGAAATCCATGTAAAAAGGTGCTGACTGATGCTAAGCTTCACTTTTCCCAGTTTACTAAACCCTGCATCTTATCTCAGAGGTAAGGCTCTAGAGACATTTGGAAAATCTTCAACAGTTTCATTAACAAAGTCAAACATTCCATCTCTAATTCATGAGTCTGATCTTATTACTTCTAAGGATCGAACTATTTACAAAAAAATTTTCTTCTGACTTGACTCTTGAATTTAATTGCCTCTTGAATTATTGGACATCCAAATCCCTCCAGCTTTTGTTGCTAAAGTCATTTCTCAATTGAATTCTTTTACATGTTGTGGTGCTGACAACATTCCTGTCATAGTTTAAAAAAATTGTTCTTCAGAACTCTCAACAATTCTCTCTAAACTATTTAATAAGTGCTTAACTGAATCTTGTTTCCCTGCCTGTTGAAAAATGGCATCCATGGTTCTAATTTTTAAAAACTCTGCAAAACATTCTGACCCCTCCAACTACAGTTCGATCAGTTTTCTCTCTATTATTAGCAAGGTCTTTAAGTCTATGATCAACAAATTTCTAACATCCCTTTTGAGTCAAATAACTTACTGTCAGACAATCAAAATGGTTTTCGATTTTCTTGTTCTATGGCTGACTTGCTAATAGCTGTCACTGAAAGACCTTATTATGTGTTAAAATGAGGCGGCAAGGCAGGGGTTATTGTTCTTGACATATCTAAAGCTTTCTATAAAGTTTGGCATGCTGGTTTTCTCCATAAGCTGGCTTCATATGGCATATCTGGGAAAAATCAAATCACTTCTTTCTAGCCACAGTATTAAAATCATCAATCTAAAAACCAACATTCATCATTTTCAGTAACTTCTGTTGTGTTATATTTAATTTTTTCGAAGATAAATTTAATGTTTTTTTCCCTAACTTTCATGTTGGAAGTCTCACCTAATGGTATAGAGGGAAGTTTATTGTATATATAAACTTTCTTTTGAACCATCTATAAATAAATGCTACTTATCTGCTTTACATTCTATACAAAAGACATTACAGACTATACAGACATTATGCTATAGACATAATTACCGGCTGATCATCTTGTGAAAAAAACTTTTTAGCTTTTGATTGCTTAAGTAACATTTGTTTTTGGTTGTAATAAAGTCCATCCCTTTGATAGAGAACTTAAAAGTTCTACCTAATTTTAAATAAAATTAAGCCATGTAATAAATCATTGAGATCTTCTTGAGTTAGTAGATATGGCTCATTAGACGAGAAAGCTTTATGAAAGTCAAGATCTAATGTGTCATTTTTGATTGTTTCTAGCCTATGCCATCTAATCTGGCATCTATGCCAGATAAGAACTTTAAGATGGTACTGATAAATGCCAGATTGGAACTTTGGTAGTTCTTCATGAAAGATTTTTTTTAACCAGTGGCAGGTCAAGATTTTACTTTTTGTTTTAATTGTAATACCTTTTATATCAGTAAGACAAAAACAAAAATCAGATGAGTGGTTCATTGGTTCTGTCCAAATCATTGGGACAGCAAAAAGTAGAGATCAAGATTTTATTGCATATTCAGTAGCAAACCCAAACATGCAACACAAAAAGTGTGTGAAAACCAAACTTACTTTTATTGTCAAATGGCAAAATTCAAAATTAGTAAGCATCTTTCTTGTTACAAAATTTTGGTGACCATTGTTATCATGACGATTTCATAACAAAGTATTTTAAAAAAAAAGTATTTAAAAAAAACTAAAAGTCAAACTGCATGTTAAATTGAATTTTTGAAAAATTTTAAAAAATTTATTAAAAAAATTATAGCTAAAAAACAAAATCAAGATAAACACCAAAAAGAATTCCGGTACTAATAAATTTTTCAATACCAATATCTCTGATCAATCTTTTCTAAAATGCTATTTTGGTAATTTTGAATACGTCCATAACTGTTATATTAGTAAAGACCTTATCTGTTATTTCAAAGTACCAAAAAAAAAAAATTCTTCTTAGATTCTGGAAAAGCTGTATCTTCCTAAGACTTGAGCCAATGAGATTAACAAGGCCTAAGACGTTTGGCAAATCAGTTTGCAATTAGGAACAATATTAAAAAAATGTGCTAACCTGTCAGTAAAATGTAAGTAGTAAAAATTTAACTACAATGAATTTAATTCTTATTTTGAGCTAATTATCTGGAAAAATCAAAGTCTGGATGAATAAGGAAAAAAAAGTAAAAAATGATTCACAAAAAATCTACCTGACACAGCAAGTAATGCACCAAAAACACGAACTAAAGTCAATACAAATGTTACACCAAAATACCCTGATATAGAGAACATTAAAGAATATCCATAAGTTGTAAAAGGATCCTGATAATAAAAATTTGAAAATGATGATTTTTATGATTAAAAAAAAAAATTATTAAAAACTAAAAATTATTATTATAAAAACTAGAGATTTTAAAAATAAAAATTTGTTGAAAAATATGAAGCTGTCATGTAGAGAGTCACGAAAATTATACCTTGTTGAAAAATATGAAGCTGTCATGTAGAGAGTCAACAAAAATTATACCTTGTTGAAAAATATGAAGCTGTCATGTAGAGAGTCAACAAAAATTATACCTTGTTGAAAAATATGAAGCTGTCATATAGAGAGTCAACAAAAAGCAAAATCATGAATAGAAAGAAAAAACCAATTCCATAAGAATATAAAACCTAAATAATTTTTTAAATTAATAAAATAAATAATTTTTAAATTCATAATTTCAAAATTTAATAACATAAATATAAAATAAGCATTAATAAAAAAAATAACTATTTTTTTTTTAGACTTATTCAAAATCCTTATATTTATAACTACTTTTAATTAATTATTTTATGACATTATGAAATTATTTTATGACATAAAGAAATTAAAATATAAATGGTTTTTTCCAAATATGGACATGTGTGTAAATATTAATATAATAACAAAAATCCATATATAACACTTATACAAATCACAAAAGAGATATGAAAAATTTATTTCAAAACAGATAGGTTCAAGATGCTTTCCAATGATAAGAATGATGAAAATGAAGGATGTGATGAGTGCAAAATAAAAACAAAAGATTGATTTTCAATTGTTTAGAAATGATTTGGAGTGACATCGCTAGGATATTAAAAAAAAAAAGAAGCAAACTTTGAATATTTTTTAAGACAAATCAATAATAGTGTAGAGTGAGGGGGAATCATTAATGTATCACTCCTTAGAACCAATGCAATTTTTGAAAAGATTCCAAGCTAGTAAAAAATTTATAATAAGCTATATCAAATTTGAAACCAAAAATTTAAAAACTAAAGTCATATTAAAATATATATAGCATATTTTTTTAAAGTTTAAATTTTTTCAATAAAAATTGCTATTGAGCAAAATAAAAATGCTAGACTAATCTTTAAACCGTCAGAAAATGCAAAACCTTTTACTGAAAAAGAATACAAAAATCTTTACCAGAACTACGTCATTCCTCCACAATTGCACAAAGTAATTAAGAACCAATTACCTGAAAATAATACGATTAACTGTTAACACCAAAAATAACATCTTAAATTTACCTTGAGAAAGTTGATTTAAAACAAAAATGATTTTCATGATAGATTAAATAAATTCTCTGAAGCATTTATAAAGACAAAAACAAAGTCTGCCTTGAAGCAATTTTATCTTTTTGATAAATAAAGGAATATCTGTTAAAACAAATGTTTACACAAGCAGTTCTAAATCAGTAAAGAATATTAAACATTTAATGTTTACTTCTCTTTTTGAAAGTTTCTTATTATTTTATATCTTCTTATTATTATATACATTTCTTTCTAATTATTATATTATTGTTAGTAACTCAATTATAATTAATTATTGATTTGAACATTTAGATTGTCAGAAAATCTTGTTCCAATGTCATCCAACTATTATATAGTACAATAATTACAATCAACTTTCCTGCCATAGTACTATCAACATTACAAGTTTCTAAAAGAATATCATTAAAACACTCAAAAATAGTATATAAACCAGAATCAAATAGAAACCTAAATGAGCTATCAACAAAATCACGATATTTGAATGCATTTGACAAACTTATTGACAGAATGGCAAAAGTGTGAGATGCGGAATAAAGATTTTTGAATGCCAGGTATTATCACATCAAGATAATAAATCAAAATGAGATGTGTGATGAAATTATTAAAAATCAAAATAACTTGTATGATAAAATTATTTAGGAAATATTAATTCATTTCTGTAATGGCAAAATTATTTACATATTATTTATTATTTACTTAATAAATAATAAATAATATGTATTCTAAGCAATACATTTAACAAATTTGATAATTTGGTATTTTAACTTAACAAATTTAATAAATTTTTACTTTTAATTTTTAAAATTTAAGAGAATATAACAAGTTTTGTTAAATTCTCTTAACAGTACAAAAGGGAGATAGAACCCTATTATTCTAACGTCACGATATATATATATATATATATATACATATATATATATATATATATATATATATATATATATATATATATTCGATAAAAGATCTTACAATCGGGGTCATCTACAAATAGTTAAAAACTAATCTTAAGTAAATACCATGAAATAGGATTGATAATACAAATAGTAATGATAATAATGATGATAAATTAAAAGTTATAAGACTAATAAGAAAATTATATGATAATAAACCAATATTAATTTTAAAACAACAATTGAATATAATGTACAGACAGGAAAGTTACAAACAGCTATGTACTGACAAAATGTAAAAAACTACCATGTAACTAAAACAATTACTGCAAAAAAAGTAACAATGATTTAATAAATATAATAATCTTAATATCAATATCGTAATAAAAACATTAAAACTAAAATAAATACTTCATTAAAAAATAACAATAAATAAACAAAACAAAAATTATTCAATAATACTCACAAATAAAAACTTGTCACACACACAAACATTTAGTCACGAAAAGTATAGAGTTTTTATAATAAATGACAATATTAAAATAAAAAAGTAAATCATATCAAGCAAACACATATCGTCACTCAAAGATAATAAATCTTTAAAAATATTCTTTTTTTTTTCTTTAAAAACGGAGAAATTTTTATACTTTATTTCAATTCCTTCCCATTTTCAAACGTTTTTATTCTTTTAACTTTTTTTTTTTTTATATATAATATATATATGTGTATATATATATATATATATATATATATATATATATATATATATATATATATATATATTATATATAAATATATATATATATATATATATATATATATATATATATATATATATATATATATATATATATATATATATATATATATATATATATATATATATATATATATATATATATATATATATATATATATATATATATATATATATATATATATATATATAGTGGTAGTCACAAAGTTTTTCCCATAAATTGTCGTTTTAAAGAGCGCGTTAAAAGCCTGACCAGAAAATGTTTAATAACTTCAAAAAATAATTTTTTTTTTCAAAATGATAGACTGCCTGCCCAAACCAAACCCTCAGTCGATGTAGCAGCACTCCCTTGCGAGTCAGGCTATTTGTCAGTCGATGTAGCAGCACTCTGTTGCGAGTCAGGCTATTTGTCAGTCGATGTAGCAGCACTCCCTTGCAAGTCAGGCTATTTGTCAGTCGATGTAGCAGCACTCTGTTGCGAGTAAGGCTTTAAGATAGTCGATGTAGCAACACTCCTTTGTAGCAGCTGGCTATAAGATAGTCAATGTAGCAACACTTACGCATGTTTTAAAAAAGTTTTTTAATAAAACAAAAACAAAAACACCACTAACTAAAAAAAACTTTCTAGTCATTATTATTGCGGTTTTTTTAAAATACAATAAAATTTAATGTACTTCCGCATTAATTTAACTGCTTTGACATTTCAACAACAATAAAATGCAGCTTAAGAGACAAGGTAAAAAAATTGTAGTCGAAAGAGACTTTTTTTACCATAAAAGTCTCTTTCGACTACACTATAAGGATATATATATACATATATATATACATATATATATATATATATATATATATATATATATATATATATATATATATATATATATATATATATATATATATATATATGTATATATATATATATATATATATATATATATATATATATATATATATATATATATATATATATATATATATATATATATATATTTATATATATATGTATATATATATAAATATAAATATAACTATTTTTGCAAGATTTATAATATATTAGCATAATTAGCATAATAAAACTAGTTTATTGGTATATATATATTGGAAAATCTGCGTTTTTTTCGCCGTAAATATTTGCAAATATTTGCCGTAAATATTTTGCAAATATTTGCCATAAAAATGTTAAAAAACGTAAAAAAAAATTTGGTGCCCAAATACGGTTGACGATGTCGAAAACGGTCTATAATAGCCCTGCTATATCATTGGTTGAATTTTCTCTTTTTCTTTTTCATATTAATATTTATTGTAAACAAGTTCGTGTTGGGTATATGGAAGTATTTTTTAAAAATATTTTAAATGTTAATTGAAAAGGATAACCATATATTGTCACTTTATTTTTCTGTATATTCCATGCTATGCTTTTAAGGGAAATTTCTGGCTAGTTCTTATCAGTTTTAAATTTAGTTCTTTAAATGAATTTGTTGCATTTTATGCTTAATTTTGCGCAATAGATTGGCTTAGTCCAATTTTTAAGTAGATTGTACTAAGTATTTTTTTTATGAAAGCCTAATTTTTTAGTCTTTTAACTAGGAATTGAGCAGAAGAGAAATTAGATTTGATACGCTGGAATTGTTAATTAGTATTTATTTCTACATTTAAACCCTATCCTAAGTATTTTATAAGGTTATATATTCAAGTATTATGAAGTGTCAAGTTTGTTACTTGAAATACTTATGATTTTGCGCTTGGTCATGCTCAATGACATTTTGAATTTATGAACTAGCTTTTAACTTTGTTGTAAACTTGTGGTAGAGCTGATTGGGCTACCAACAATAAATGTGAGGATGTCATTAGTAAATTTGTAAAGTTCTGTGTTACAGTCAAATATAATATTTATATCAAGTATAAAGAGAATGACGAAAACAGACCCAAACGTACTGCTTTAAGTGATTCCGCATTTCATAGGTTGCCACTCAGTTGTTCTGCTGCTAGCATAAACTCTTGTGATCAATCTTAAATTTACAATAATTATACAATGAGTCAAAGACTTTACTGCAAATTTGCTCCAAAGAACTATCGCAATTCTGTCGACATTCCTATATTGATGAATGGCAATTGTCTCATTTAGTCTTATTCTTTACGCTTTTTTGGATTATCGTTCACTGCTGACTTCTCACGGAAACCATATATACAACTATTGATAAGTTAGGATGCTAATCTCTTATTTGTTCTGGTATGGAATACTGTTGGAATAATGCCTTTCTAATGATGCTATTTCTCTTCTAGACAAGGTCCAATAACATAGTTGGACCTGCTCCATCTGCCAAGCATAAGCTTTTATCAAGCCTTCCCAGGAAATGTGTGCAGCCACACGCCTTATTTGTCCCCATTTATAGCAATTTTTTAAACAACTTGACCACACTTTTTTCATGCCTTTTAAGAATTTGGGGTAAAATAATGCTATAAGAAACTACAGAGAATAAAACAGCAATACTTGTAGAAAGGAAAAGAACACTAAATGAAATAGAAAATCTAAATAAAATAAACCAGAAAAAATTGAAAATCAAAAAAAAGAATATCAAAATAATATAATCAAAATAATATACTTAAATATTTTACTCTTTTTTTTTTTATTTATTTAAGGCATTTATTATTTTCCAAGTAAATAGCTTAGTCTAGTTTATTTAATTAAAATTTGATATTTCATTACAACTTTGTTTCCTTTTTTTAGTATAGTTTTTTTTTTTTTTTAGTAGATAAGTTTAGATTATTGCCACAAATTATTGAAATGCTTTAAAAGTTAAAAGGTGCGAAACCTGTGGTCATTATGTCTAAAAATATTACTTTAAACATGGACAAACAAGGAGTGCAACCACACACGCTTCCTGAGAAGGCTTGTCCAATGTCGTAAATTTCTTTCTCTTTTCTACAAATACTATCATGGCTGCTGCTCAAAGTAGCTTAACCAAAACTCATTTATGATTGACTCACTATTTTGCTAAGTCTCATCTTTATACTGTTTCTGTCCCTGTATGCTCTAAAAACATTTATTTGTCTAATTTTTTTCTCCACACATCAACCCTTTGGAACTCTCTCCCACCTTTATGTTTTCCTGACTCATACAACCTACAATTTTTCAAGTCTTCTGTCAACCTTTTCTCGCTATTTCATTCTATTTTTTATTTTCTAGTAACTCCTAACATAATAGTGGTTACTCGCAGCCTTGTTGGGAGTAAATCAAAATAAAATAAAATATTAGAACTTAAAAACTAAAACCTTAGCTTAAACAAAATCAAAAATCATGATTTTTTTTTATTACAACTAAATTTTCTTTTTTGTCTTGGTGCAAATTTTTTTTTTTTTTTGATTTTGAATTACTCCCAACAAGGTTCCACTATTAAGTTGAGAGTTATTAGAAAAAAGAGTTATAGAGCAAGGAAGCGGTTGACAGAAGACTTGAAAAGTCGAAGGTTGTATGATTCAGGAAAACATGAAGATGGGAGAGAGGTTCCAAAGCATTGAAGTGCAGGGGAAAAAACTAGACAAATAAAAGTTTTTAGAGCATGCATTCTTTTACTGTATCTGTATACAGTAAAAGAGTGAGACTTTGCCTATTGAAGAGTCAAGCGAGATTGAGTTTTATTTGATGGAACTAGAGTTGATAGCTCCTTTGAGCAGCAACCATGATAGTATTTGTAGAAAAGAGAAAGATATGCAACTTTACGACAATGGGAAAGAGGCTCAAGCTTAGCAGATAGAGTGGGTCCAACTACATTTACTATGTGTTTTTGGACCTTGTCTAGAAGAAAAAGAGCATCATTTGAAGAACCAGCCCAAATATGATAACAGTATTCCATACAGGGAAGAATAAGAGATTTGTAGAGGTAGAGAATGGAATCACAAGAGAAAAAATGGCAAGCACAATAAAGAGAAGCAACCTTTGCAAATGGTAATTTAGCAATGGATTGTATAGATCGATTCCATGAAAGGTCAGTAGTAAATGATAATCCAAGAAGATGTAAAAAAGAGGACTCAGTGAGAGGGTTGCCATTTATCAATATAGGAATCTCGACAGTACTGAGATTATTTGCAGTAAATTGTTGGAGATGTCAGTTTTTTATGACACATGAGAATACGTTCATAGTGCTTTAACCTGGTAAAAAGCTATGTTTGCTGGTTTTTAAGATAGAGTGAATATGGTAGATTATAAATTTAGTAACAACTTTAACTCTTTCTATGTCTTGCAGAGGTGAGATGTGAGAGAGATTGGATAGAAGTCTTACCAGTTACTAGGGTTTAGTAATTTTAAGGAAAGTATTATATTGGCAAGTTTCAATCAATATGGCATAAATAAATGAGACAGACACTGATTAAATAAAAGACTTAGTGCTACAGAGATTTTAATGCAAACACATTTTAGCAGTTTTGGAAAGATCTGGTTGGGTCCAGGTGATCCATAATTTTTTCTAAGGATTTGAAACATTATCTGGAGTAAAAAGTAAAGGTGTATCTTGGTGATTTTAAGTGATTATGAAAATATGTACAGCTGCTTTAACTCATAATTCTTCAAAAAAAAAAGATCTACTTAACTATCATTCTTCAAAAAAAATGATGCTTACTTTACAACTACATAGGATGAGTTATCACACTTAACGATTAAACATAGTTACCAATTAAAAATTATACTTGTATTCTAACAACATTTTACCAAATTGATTTATAATACTTATTTTGTGGATTAGTACAAATTTTGAATTCAATATTCAAATCATTTTTATAATTTACAATTCAAATTATTCTTACCACTTCAGTATTAGAAGCATTAAATTCTTTCATAGTCTTTTCTTGAAGATTTCCGACTACAGCATCAGCACATAAAGCAATGCTCAAGCATAATACACCTACATTAAACTACATATACATTATAATCATCATCATCATCATCATCATCATCATCATCATCATCATCATCATCATCATCATCATCATCATCATTAACTAACCTATATAGCTGAATTCTGGTGATACAGTAGAGTCAGCAAGTACAAATAGAGATAAGCCAATACTCATTAAAATGCATGTTGTAAAATCTAATAGGTTGTATCTTTTTCCTAAGTAAAGTAAGAAAATGAAACTTTAAATACAGTGTAATAATAAAAACAGTATATTATAGGATATAAAGAATATATTTCAGTAAAAAATTATTATATCTTGTATTTTTAAAATTAATTTTTTTAATTTTGTTGAGTTATGATTTTTTTTTTCTTTGTTTTTTTATTTTTTTTTCCAATTTCCTAATATTTGAAACAACAAATCATAATTTCATTCATTATGAATAATTTATTTGTATTAACTTATTCTAATGCATTATACCAAAATGTTGCTACAACTAATTTTTTTTGTTGTTGTTGACCACATCTTTGTGTTGACTAATTATTGGGAATAAAAAAATTTAATTCAAATTATGTTCTACTTAAATTATACCTCATTCATAATGACAATAAAAAACATCTTATTTAAAAGACATTTTTTTTTTTAATTAAATCTGCCCAAGCTCTAGAGGGGACCACTACAGTCAGGTTTTCTTTTATGACTTTATTTACAACTCTCTCTCTCTCTCTCTCTCTCTCTCTCTCTCTCTCTCTCTCTCTCTCTCTCTCTCTCTCTCTCTCTCTCTCTGAACTTCAAACCTCTTAACTGCCGATCTATGAATAGTCTACTACCATATCTATTCATAAATGTGGTAGTATATTAATAAAATATTTAATTAAATTGTTTTGTAAAAACATAAATTTTTATCATTAAAAAAAGCAAACATATCCAATTTAAAAAAAAAACAACCTTGTATTACAATGCCACCCAACATGACAGGAATTAATTTACAGCACTTAAATATGACTTGTGTTGGATAATTAACATAACCAAGTGACTTATTTGACATTCCGATAGTTCCAATAGCAAGGAGAGCCAAAATGCAATATATTTTCAAAGGAATCCTGTAAAAAATATACAAAATGTAATAATGTGAAAAATACAAAAAAATCTAAGATTAGATTAGATTAGATTAAAATTTATTAGAACAGTGACACAAGTTCTAAAGGATATGCAGGTCCATAAAATATGAAGGACTCTGACAACATGCGCTACATAATACATATGCTAGATAATTTAAAATATATATTACAACTATATATAAGACCATAGTTATAAAACAAAAACCAGTTAGCTAAAATAGTATTTTTCAAAGTCGATAGAGTTAATTTTAATTTTAAGGCTCTTTATATTTTTGGCATTCACGACGTCAAACGGCAAGTTATTCCAAATATTAACAACCCTGAGTGAGAAAGAGTATTTACGGACATCGAGTTTACATTTTAGTTTGCGTAATTTGAAATTATGTCCTCGAATGTAAATAAAGTTGTTAAATAAAAAGAAACTAGATTTATTTAGGAAAACTAAAATGTTCAGAATTTTGTAACATGTAATCATGTCTTGCTTAAGGCGACAAATTTCTAGTAGTTCCAAACCAAGAATTCTAAGTCTATTTAAATATGAAACGTTATTTAGGTTAGAAATTTTCTTGGTTAAACATCTTTGTACTTTTTCCACTGTATTGTTTATTTCAGTGTGATTTGGCGACCAAACACATGGTGATCAGATGGTGTCATAAATAAAATAAAAGATATTCAATAAAATGAAAATCATCAAGAACTAAATTGCAACTAAAAACTGTGTCAAAGAAATATAATAAAAACTAAACTCTCAAGAAAGAAAGTTGAGAAAAACATCACTGTGTAAAATATATTTATTACCACACTGTTTTTATGTCATTTTATTGAGGTTGGAAATTTTTTCATATTCATGAACACAACTTTTTGTTATAGCTGTTCTACAGTAGCTGGTGAACTTAATAATGTTTGCATCATAGTTTATATAGGCCAGAGAAAAAAAAAGCTACATTAAGTATAAAATAACTTTGAATAACATACTCAACATAAGTTTAGTTAAAGTTGAATTCTAGTTTCAAAATAAAAATCACAAACGAAATATGATATGGAGTATTTCATAAGTTCAATTACTATATCCAAACTTACTAGTTGCAACTTATGCTATGTAAAATTCTTCTAAAGATTACCAATATTAATGCTTTTAGATTTGTTTGAAGAGATTCCCTTTCTTGCCAGCACTAATAAGCTCACAAGTTGAAGTCAACTTATATGACTGCATGCCAAATTATTCATAGTTTAGATGATTTATTTCAATTATTCAACAAAAGTTTTTCATGTATTTTAACTTGAATAAAACCAGTGGCTACCAAATCAACTGCTTAGTTACTGTTACAGAAAAAAAGCCAACTTTGACCTAAGAGAGTTTGGTTAAACAATTTTAAAGTTAAAATTTTAAAATATGTATAAAAAAAAGTAAATATAAAAAATATTTTCACGCAAATGGAACTTTGCAAACAAAATTTTGCTTCAGGCTCAGCCAATTATCTTGTTATGATAAAGAATGCTCACAACAACTCATAACCAAGTAAGGGAGAACAAAAAGCAGCAACAATTTCAGAGTATTACACATTCGAGCTCTAGTTATCTCAGAAACCAAAACCAAAAATAGGTTTTAGAATTTCGAAACCATGTTATGTTATGTCTTTTGAGTGTAAAGCATGTGTAAAAAAGTTATTTTGAAACTAAAAAAATTAAAAAAAAACTTTAAAATCAGTTGAAAAGCTTAATGATGGTTGCAACAGAAGTGTCAACAAGTTTAAAACTCAAAATCAAAATAAGAGAATTAACTGAACATTCATATTTAGTTGTGGTCATCACAGGGTTAGCATTAAAAAACCCGCCCCCTTAAAAAACCTGCCCAATAAAACCCAAAAAAAACCGCTTAAAAAAAACCAATAAAACCCTGGAAAATCTGGGTTTTATTGGGTTTTTTTAAAGATATTTAATAAGTTTATGAACTATTATAACCAACTTTAACATTATAACTATAATATTATTAACTAAAATAATTATTAACTATTATTATTAACTAAATTATTATTAACTATTATTATTAACTATTATAACCAAAAATAACAGCTATCAGAGCAGTTTTACTATTATTTGAATCATTATTGGGAAATACATTATTACAATTTTTATTCAAATATTTTTATCGATTGAGATTTTTATTACTTTATGTTATTCACCTCCCAAGTTGAATTTAAATGAGTAGTAGTGACCAGAGAAGCCAACACAACAGTCGAGGAGGCTACCTTGTTTTGGTTACAATCCTCTCTTAACTCTTTAACTCCTAAACACAAATCTTTATAAACAAGGCTGCTGCGCAGAGGAACAAGTTTGTTCATTTGAATTTCAAGTTCAAAGTTTAATTGTTACTACCTCCCATTCTCTAGCCTTCTTTTTCCCATTTTCTTATTGACATTTTTAATTATATAGAATAATACTTTTAAATTTAAAATAAATCAATACATATAGATTAAGCGTGAAATTTTTTTTTTCTATTACAGTTTTAAATTATATTTAAAAATCTTTTTCAAAATAATTTGAAAAATTCTTGTTATAAATAATTTAATAACAATATATAAAATATATTTAAATAAAGTTAAAGTAGAAAATGAAACTCATTTTCAATATCATTAAACAAAAACACACAAAAATTTTTTACAGGGACAAAATAAAAATCAAACCCAAAAAAACCCAAATTTACCCAATAAAACCCACTGGGCCAGTTTTTTTTTAAAAAAACCGGGTTTTTGCCAACCCTGGGTCATCATATTTAGTCATGGTCAGGTCATGTGTATGGTCTTCATGATCACCCTGCTACTGGTAACATGTAACCTGCTACTGGTAACATGTAAGGTAAAGTGCAACCTGTCTCATGTCTTGTAGGATTCACTTTCTAAGCAAAGACTGGAAGGAGATTGCTTCCTGTCATTAACACTATTTAAAATTGGTCATGCCTATAGTAATATATACATTTTTTTTTGTATGTGTGTCTTTTATATAGTTTGAGGTGCCTTAGTTACTATTTTAACTCACTTATAATCTAACTTATATGTATGCTTGTGCACTGTCTAAACCTCTGGTGCCGTGTTGACTCACCCGTAAGTTGCAATGTGTATGTTTGTGTTCTGTCTGTTTATGTTTATATGTATGTTTGCGTTCTGTCTGAACCTCTGGCGTGGTGTGTACTCACTCATAAGTTACTTTATGTATGTGTTCTATTTAAATGTTTAAATCTGTTTTGATGCAGTGTGAGCTTATTAACTAACTAGACACTCCAACTATTAAACTTACACTTACCCTTATCTCTTGTATTTTGTTGGGTGTAATATTTTTCCTAATGCATTTTCAAAATATCATGTCTGATGCTTTAAGGTACTGTTTGCAGAAACTAGCTCCTTTTAGTTATTCCAGGTCAGGTCAGGTTAAGGATCATCATGATCACCCTGCTAATGGTATTATGTAACCTAATACCACCTGCCCCATGCCCTGCTGCTTTGTAGAGTGTGTTTTTTCAGGCAAAGGCTAGGAGAAACAAATTCAGATTTAAAAATCCCCTACCTTGGGCTCTTGGTTGAGTAAAGGCTAGAGGTGTTTCAATAAAAATACTCATCTTGGGCAGATGTTAACTGCATCCAGCTGCTGTCTTGTAGGAAGCCTTCTAGGCAAAGATTTTAGGGGTAAGCAGAATAATTCTATTGACCAGCCTCAAACCCTTTCTTCATCAATTAGACTGGCATAGATTTTTTTTGAGTCTCCTTGATAGTGGCTATGCAACTCTTCCTGTTATCTTTTAATTAGGGTACAGCTCTAAAACTCAGTTTAATGGTTCTGAGGCCGGCTGGTAGTAAGGTTTCCTGAACTCTGTGGTAGCTCTCAGGGAGGCTAATTCCATCAACAGCTGCAAAATATCAGAATATTAACAGTGTCATGTTGCGTGTGGATGGTGTCCCTGTTAATGCTTTTGGTGTGCATTGTAAAGGCCACATAAGGAGCCTTATGTTACAACTTAGGGCAACTAACAGGACTGAGAATCTTTGCCATCTTCATGTTTTCCTGGCTCATACAACCTTCAACTTTTAAAGTCTTGTGTCAACCATTTCCTTGCTCTGTAACTATTCTTTTTTTCTAGTAACTCCCAACTTAATAGTGGTTGCTTGCAGTATTGTTGGGAGTGAATCAGAATAAAAATAAAAATAAAAAGTTAAATTTGATAATTATTTTAGGTTTACAATATTTTATTTTCAAAGCATATTTGCAGTGGTTAGATTATTTTGTAACTTTAAATATTTTATTGCGTAAATATAGAAAAGTTTATTCCCTTTAAAAGTTTTTATTTAAACTATTTTTTTTCAAAAATAAACATTTTTTTTTTAAACATCTTCAAACAAGGCTGCAAACAACCACTATTAGAGTTGGAAGCTACTGGAAGAGAAAAGATGAATTTTATAAAAAAAGATTTTAAATTATATGAATCAGGAAAACAAGAAGAAGGGAGCGATTTCCGAAGAACTGATGTTGGAGTAAAAAAACTAGATGAATAAGGATTTTTGGAGCACTTAGGAATAGTCACAGTAAAAGGATTAGACTTTATTGACAAGTAACACGAAAAAAAATTTTAGGAGATGGTGCAAGAGATGCTAGCTTTTGAGAGCAGTGCCCATTTTAGTATTTATATAGAAAATAAAAAGAGAAGCAACATTACAACGATGTTATAATGGTTGGCGGCTGGCTGCAAGAGCAGATCCAACTAAATTTACAATGCGTTTTTGCACCTTATCAAGAAAGGGCATTATTTAAAGATTCGCTCCAGGTATGGCAACATTACTCCATACAAGAGCGAATTTGAGATTTATAGAGATAAAAAATAGAATCCAGAGTAATAAATTGGCAAGCATGATAACAAGATGCAACCTTAGCAGATGCTAATTTTGCAATGGATCAAAGTTCACCAGCCACTGGTGAGAGCCCGGTTCTGTAGC